AAGTATATGTTTCTTTTTGCTGCTTCAGTTTGGGTTCAAGGAATGGGTTTATGTAAATATCAGGTTCTCAGCTCCCTATCCCATCCTCTGGTACAGAACTAGTGGCAGGAGAGGAGCCAAACATATAGGCTGCTTACAGACATGACAAACCCCCCAAAAGCCCTTTACTGAAAGAGGAAGCACATTAGTTCTACCTGGCTCCCCAGTGTCTGTATAGATCAGGCACTTCAGCAGGATTTTTGGCTCTTTTATCTAATATCTGATTCAGTTAGCTATTAGATAAAAGTGCCCAGAAGGCCCACTGAAGCGCCTGATCTATACAGACCTTGGGCAAGCCAGGTCAAACTAACGCAAGGCCTCTTCTGGGCATGCACTGTGTTTGGTTTGCAGGTGCACCAAGCTTAAAGCACTGGGTGGTTGTTTTTTTCATGTCTGTCAGAAGCCATAAATATCTATGTATACATATGCTGAGAAAGTCAGAGGACTTGCTTTGCTAGGCAGAATAATAGCTTAGGGCCAACCACTGGTAACCTCCCAAATCTCATTCTCTGTGTGGAGTGGCACCTTAATGCTGCAGAACCAACTGCTCCATTTACTGAGACAGGGATCAAGCTGCAGAGACATGACACCAGGGGAAGTCCCACCCCAGCATGCTGCAGCAGAGGGTGTGTGTGTGCAGCGAGGATCAGGCCAGTCACTGCACAACTCTGTTGTCTGCCATCCAAACCTTCCATTGAAGGACAGGGCAACAGTAACTCAGACTGGCTGCGTAATGTTTTATATTCTGAGAAGGGAAGATACTCTCCAGCTTTGTTGATATTAACCTAGAGCTGCAGAAAGGGTAGTGATATATGTGATATTTTTGCCTAGAAAAAGGATATTGTGGTAGGTGGCTGTTTGAAAGACAGGACAGAGGCCTGCAAGTTGGGAGGTAAGAGGGTGGTGTCCTGAGGTGGGGGGGTTGCGCTGTATGTTAGGGAACAGTATACCAGTTCTGCCTTCCAAATGGGACCAGAGGAAGGCTTAACTGAGACCCTGTGGGTCAAGCTCCAAGGAGGGCGGGGGGAGAGGGATCTGGTGGTAGGGGTTTACTACAGGCCACCACATCAGGAGGAAGAGCTGGATCTGG